CGAATCACAATGTGTGTAACCAGTCAGAAAAATAATTCACTCTCTAACAAACGCGGTTGCCAAAATACCCGAATTTTGTCTTTTCGATTTGAGAACACCAACTGCTTTTATCGGACGAACATTTTTTTTCCATTCGTCGACAGCTGGGAGAGGATGTTCAGTAATTTCCATATCAAAATACTTTTATAGCGACTCCTGCGACGGACTTGTTTTTTAATTCAAATATTCCATCTTTAGCATGTCGTGTGGAATACATGCCCTTTTGTTTGGTAAGTAATTTTCTTTTTTGCCACATTTTCCATCGTAGAATATACACGATGTGCTGTTGTTTGCTTTGACTAGGTAAGTCGCCGTTTTCTTTGCTATAGCATGGTAGGGCTGAAAAAAAACTGAAGTAAGCTTTTTAGTTTGTGTGGCTATTGGCTTTCTAAAGGTGTGTTCTCAAATACCTTATGCACACTGTGTGTTAATAAGTAGTATATCTGGGTGTTGAAATAACTGCCAAAACTATAGAAATGGACCACATTAGGAATCTATTGACGCCTTAAAGAAAACTGACATCCATGTTAATAAAAAAAACTGTCTTTAACTGCCAAAAGCCCACAAAATAACCTATGTTAGAAATGTGAAACTTAAAACATCAGTTGTGCAATTTAAAAAGAATTAAGAAAAATGCAAGGATTTAAACTAACATTTGAATTTATTTGTTTGAATCTGAATTTATGTTATACAGGAATAAAATGTATCTGCCGACAATTGAGTTTGAACATGTGAGCATAGAGGAAACACATATAAAAGAGGTCGCATAACATCTAGATTGATCTCTGTTTCTAGTCCATTCTCTATTACTATACTGATCACCATTTCTACTCTATCCTCTATTACTACATGGACCACTATTCTCTACTCTATTCACTATACGATTTCTCTATTTGGATTACTATTTGAGCAAGTATTATCGAGCAAGTACTATTCAGAGACGTCTCACACCAGCATTATTCAATGGGTACTATAGTTGTATCAGCGATTACAAAGTCTCTACTACAATGAGTATTTGTTGACATCACAAAGTGGCAACGATTGTTTGTTGCCATCACAAAAATTTAATTATTAGAATAATGTTTCATAAAATATATCTTCACATTATGGAGCATGACTTATTTTCATTAAGATAATTAAAAAAGAATTGAATATATTTCTTTTTCCTTGAAAGTGGTACATTTTTATTCATCACAAGATTCGTCACAAGATAACAATTCTTTTTTATAAACAGTTATTTATACAATTTTTTTTCAAATATATCTTAAATCATTTTTATAAACCACAAACGATCTTATAGTTATGAATTAACAGGAAATTATATAATTTAAGGCAGTGGAGTATTCACTGTTACAATGTGCTGGTAATATTAGCTGTTTGCATATGTGAAAAACATCCAGCATTCTTTGACTGAAGAGCTAATACTACTTTTAATTGAAATTTATAAATGCTTACTATTAAAACAATTTTCAGAAAAATAGATTCATCAAGGCAAAATAACTGTTATTACTCTTTCCAGTATTGATGAGGGCTTCCTTGCTAACCTTTTGTTTGAAGTAATGTGGAACGTCTACATTTATATTGTATCATTACTTTCTCTTCAAGTTACATGTGCTATCCATTTTTGTTGTTGCTGCTGTTGGCAGTCCTCAAGTGATGTGGTTTCTGATATTTGGTACAGTTCTTTCTTTGTGATTCTGTAGCACCAGTCCACGGGGTTTGAAGAAGCTTGGTCCTTTCTAAAGCCTACACAGTTCATTTTCTCAAAGCCATTTTTAATTTTTGATCTGAGAAAGAGGTTGTATACAACTGACAGTTTAGATATTTCTGAATAGGTTAGGCACCATGCATGATATCCATAGGAAAATCTTGATTTTTTTTTATTTTTTGTTTTACTGATAATTCACCTAATACAAGGCCCAAGAGCCACACCAGGTAGAGGTTTACTGTGTGAGATTGTAAGGGAGGAAGGAAAGAGGAAATAAGAGAAAATTATGAGGACAAGTAGGATAGATATCAGTTGACTCAGTTAAGAGTCAAGATATTTCTGGATGAGTTTGGTGCCATGTATGTATTCATATGAAAGTTGATTTGATGAGGTTGTTTGATTTTGTCTTCAGAAAGATGCTGAGAATACCATAGACTGAACATGTTAGCAACAACAGATTTTGGAGAAAATGGAAATAAAAAGGAAACTTATACTTAAAATCAGGAAGAGGTAGTTGTAATTTCTGGGGCACATAGTGAGGAAGAAAGGCTTGGAAAATCTGATACTGATAGGAAAGATTGAGGGAAAGAGAAACAGAGGAAAGCAACATGTAACATACTTGATGAGATTGAGTAACTGGAAGGCAGAACAGGGTTTGGTAGAAATAAGAAAAAGACAAAAGTTATTAAATGCTACAAAAGACAGGAAAATGTGGAAGGCCATGACCCCCTACGTCGTGATCTCAAGCATGACTCAAAGTAGAGGGTTACTGAAGGAGATTGTAAGGGAGGGGGAAAGAGGAAGTAAGAAAGAATTATAAGGATGGGTAGGATAGATATCAATTGGCCTGGCTAAGAGTTAAGATATTTCTGAATGAACTTGGTGCCTGAACAGTTTGGGCAGCATGCATTATGTCCATATGAAAGTCTCAAAATTATGAGGCTATTTTAGAATGTAACTGGAGTTCTTAGGTTAATCATTTGTTTTTTGTGATGTCAACAAATACTCATTGTCACTATTGTAATGCTCGTTGTAGTAGAGACTTTGTAATTGCTGATACAATTATAATACGCCATTGAACGATACTGGTGTCAGATGCCTTCAAATAATCTCACACTAATAGTACTTACTTGATAATACTAACTCAAAAATAACCACCATATAGTAATCCATATACAGAAATAATATAGTGAATAGTATGGAGAATAGTGGTCTGTATAGTAATAGAGGATAGAGTAGAAATGGAGATCAGTTAGACACCATGATACTATCTATTTATGGGTTTTCTTTATAATTACGTGGACTACTTAATTCAATAAAGGGAATGCCTGTGTTTGCTCATTGGTGATCTATGTTCAAATTCAAGTGTCCGCAGCAATACTTTATTCCTATATAACAGTTTTGTAGTATCCTATTGTGTTGGGCAAAAGAAAACCCATAAATAGACAGTATCATGGCGTCTAACTGATCTCCATTTCTACTCTATCCTCTATTACTATACAGACCACTATTCTCTATACTATTCACTATATTATTTCTGTATATGGATTAACACAGTTTATTCTGTGTTTAATTTCTTTCTCTCCTGAGCTTGCAGGTTCAAGTATAATAAAAACAGATTTCAACATTAAATGACCCAAATAGGCTTAATATATCATAAAAGCCACCAACGTGTTTTCTTGTATTGATATTTGACATGATTATGAGCAGATTTTACAAGACTTTATAAGAAGACTGACCACTTGATTAAAGGCGTGTTTTTACTTCAAAAAAGAAAATTATTTTTTATCTATATTTACTAAGTTTAGATTAATCTAGCAAAGAATTATCATTGCACCAATATTTGATGTGAAACAGACTGCCTGCCTTGAAAATCAGCATATACCCCAAAGCCTTCTTTCCTCATAAAATGTCCTGCAAATTTCAACTATCTCTTTCTGATACTAAGCATATGCGGCCTTTGTTTCCATTTTCCTTAAAATTTCTTCCTAAATATGATGATAAACTACATCCAGCAAGAAGGCTTCTGATCAGGAGATTGGAGGTTTTGAGGAGCATGGAACTACTTCTTAACTGCTATTGTTCCCAGGCCCACTTTGACTCGGGGTGGTAACACCTGTTAGGGTCCCAGCTATGGGCAAATAGTGAACCCCCTTAACAAAAATCAACTACATTTTTATAATAAAATAACCAACAATATATTTTATAGCAAAATGACAATCAATACAACACTAAAAAAATATAAAAATACATTTTTATTGTAAAATTACCAACAATACATTTTATGATGTACAAACTATGTATATCTAAAAAAAAAACAACATATCTTTACTGTGAAAGTATTAAATTATGTATAAAAAAATCTGTAGTTGAAAGTATAAAATTATGTACAAAATATTTAGATATCAGCATAACATAGAGTTTGATATGCTGTTAAACAAAATCAATCAACCAAATCCTTAAAACTTCCTCATTGCTCATTTGCTCTATCCATGGTATTCTCAGCATCCTACTGTAGAACCACATTTCTGTAGCCTCAAGTCTTCTCTTCACATGTAAAGAAATTGTCCAGTATTCACTGCCATAGAGGAGGATTCAGCACTCTTTTCATTGTTTCTAATTAAATATCCCCTTTAATATGTGAATATCAAATTTTCCAAGCCTTCTTTTCTCATTTTGTCCCAGAAAATTCAACTGTCTCTTTCTAATTATAAATGCAAGTGCTCATTTTTGTTTCCATTTTCCTTAAAACTTCTTTGATGTTCACCTGCTATGTCCATGATATTCTTAGCATACTACTGTAGAAACCTCCTCTTCACCTGTGAAAAAATTATCTTAACATTCACCGCCATAAAGGAGGATTGATATCACCTAGCAATTCAGCAGTCTTCTTTTTGATTTACAAATCCTATCATCTCAGAATTTCCTCTTAATTCCTTTTCCATCCTTGACCAAATCTGGAAAATAATTCACATTAAATGAGTACGGCAAAAAACAAGAAAGAAACACTATTTATCTCAAGAAAGTTTATTTAGTATATTTAGGTATGTGCACATATATTTTTATTAGTTTAGATATATCATTTTTTTTTTTTTTCAAAATTTTTATGATCTGCACTATTTTTATTTTTACATTTCTTATTTATTTTATGTTATTTTATTTTTTTCAGTCAGAAAAAATAATTTTCTTGCCTTTGAAATTGATCACAAAACCTATGTTGCTGTTCTTTAGGATATTTCCTTTCAACTTGTAGATGTTTTCTTATTTATTTTTCACCTTCTGTCCCTCCTCCCAGTCTGTCTTCATTCTATCAATCTTCATTTCTCCTTTTCTCTTTCCCCTTTCTTTTTAACTACCTTTGCTTCTTCTTTTTTTAATCTTGTCTCAGTAACTTCCTTTTTCTTTTTGTTCTTCCTCTCTTTTCATGTTTCTTTCTTTCAATTCACCCATTTTCTTTATATTCTTTGTTCATTCTGTCCTCTTCACTTGTCTTTTTCAACCATACTTTATTCCTCCCTTCATTTTCATGTTCCAATTTTTTTTATTTTCTCATCTTTCTTTTTCTTCTTTCTGCCTTTTCTTTCCTTTTCTTTCCTCTTTTTTCCTCATCTTTTTCTTTTCCATATGTTTTTCTATTTTTTGTTTTCCTCATCTTTTTCTCTCTTTTTTTCTTCCCAATTGTTTCTGCTTTTTCTTTCCTTATCTCTCCTCTTTTTCTCATCTTTTTCTTTTTCGTGTGTTTTTGTATTTTTTGTTTTCCTCATCTTTTTCTCTCTTTTTTCTTCCTGATTTTTTCTGGCATTTTTTCTTTTCTCACCTCTTTTTTTTCTCGTCTTTTTCTTTTCCATGTCTTTTCCTATTCTTTATTTTCCTCACCTCTTTCTCTCACTTTCTTCTTCCTGATCATTTCTGCTTATTCTTTCCTTTACTCTCATTTTTACCCCCTTTTCTCCTCACCTTTTCCTTTTCCATGTGTGTTCCTATTTTCCCATCTGATGATCCTGTGATATATTTTAAAATCTAATCTTTCAAGTAAGATGAAAGACTTGAATCTGTTTAAATGATTGTTTTGAAACTGTAGATATTACAGACAAGGGAGTCTTTATTGTAGATCACCAGTTTAGGGCCGTGTCAGCTGATAAATTAGATTTAGTGTTGGAAACTTTTGTCTAGTTTACCACCTTCAAAGTGTAAATGTTATTGTTTATGTAAGTGAGTACCTCAATGTTGTGAGTGTCTGTGAGTCAAAGATGGAGGAGGGTGATAAATGTATAGGGTAAAAACAGCTGCTATGGAAACATTAGGTAAAGAGAAAAAATGTTGCTAAAAATTTCTCCTTTTCTCACTCCACTTTCATTCATTGTCCCTCTCAAGGAATGCTTTCATTTTTTCTTATTTTTCTCTCTTCATATTCTCCTCTTCCCACAACTTTCTTATGCATTGCAATCTTTTCTTTTATTTTACTGCTTTTCTCTCTCTACCTCATTGTATATTTACTCCTCTTCCCACAACTCCCGTATATATTACAATATTTTTTATTCTATTTTCTCTTCTTTCCACTCATCCTCATTATTCATTACTCCTCTTCCCACTACTTCTCATCACTTCATATTATCCTATATTATAAGTTTTTTCTTTTATTTTACATTCTCTCATCCCCACAACTCTCTCATATATTGTAATTTTTTAATCTCTTTCTTCTCTTCCTCATACTTCTCTTCATTTACTCTTCTTCTCACTCCTTCTCATCTTCCAACTCTCTCATATATTTTTAATCTCTTTCTTCTCTTCCTCATTCTTTACATTTACTCCTTTTCCCACTACTTCTCTTCTCCTCAGATGCTCTCATATATTTTTAATCTTTCTTGTCTTCCTCATTCTTCTCTTCATTTACTCCTCTTCCCACTACTTCTCATTCTCCAACTCTCTTATATATTTTTAATCTCTTTCTTCTCTTCCTCATTCTTTACATTTACTCCTCTTCCCACTACTTTTCTCCTCAGACTCTCTCGTATATTTTTAATCTCTTTCTTCTCTTCCTCATTCTTCTCTACATTTACTCCTCTTCACATTACTTCTCTTCTCCTAACACTGTTATATATATATATATATATATATATATATTTACTCTGAAGATCCAGTTAGGTGAAACCTAGGTAGGTTTGCCTGGTTCCTTAGGATTATCCTAGTATATATATATATATATATATATATATATATATATATATATATATATTACTGGGTATGGTTTGTATTCTTAATAATTTAATTTATCCTTAAAATTCTAAATGGTTTATATAATTATTTTTATTTTTATTCATTAATTTTTCAATATATTCTTTCTTAATATAAACTAAAAACGATTTATTGTAAATCTTATTATATCTTATTTGCAAGCATATTTTGTTAATTTTTAGTGGGAACAATTTTTTTATATAATTAATAATTAAAAATTTTGTTTTATAAAACTTCTTTTTCAGTCTTCCTTTAATTTCCATTTCATCTTTCTTATAATCCCAATTTGGGGTTTTAAGTTTAATATCTGGGCTGAATTTGTGTAACTTCTTTCCTTTTAAGGCAGATAACCTCTGCCCCTCCCCTTACCACCACTCAGGTAGCCTGTTATGTAAATTAATATATATATATAATAAATAAATGTATAATATATATATATAATAATATAAATAAATGTATAATATATATATATATATATATATATATATATATATATATATATATATATATATATAATATAATAATAAATAAATGTATAATAAATATATATATATATAATAAATAAATGTATAATGTAAATTAATATATATATATATATAATAAATAAATTAATATATATATATATATATATATATATATTCTTCTATTTTATCCCTGTTCTTGCTTTCCCTCTCTCATTGCTTATGGATTGCAATAAAACAATGGGAACATCTACAACCTTTTAATCTAAAAACAACTGTGACATGAAGATTAATGGCAAACTTTTCCCTTAAATGTACTCCTCATTTTTCTTATTTTTTTGCTTATATCATTTTTATCATTCTCTTTCTCACTTTATTTTTATTCATTCTAAAATTTTTAAGACACTGAATAAATTATTTTTTTTTTATAAAATTATACCATTTGATAAGGTATGACAGAAAGATCTATTTGAACTATGAGGAAAACTCAATCTACTTGGGAAGGATGTTAGAACTTATCCATCACTTATACTAGGAGCATATAATGCATATGGATAGAAAACAAATTATGTATACAAAAATAGAAAGAGGCATAAGACAAGGCTGTGTCTTCTCTCTAGATTTGTTCACCCTCTATAATGAGGCTAAGGGAGCTGGAGACCCTACCAGGACTAATTATCAGTGGGAAAGACAATAATAATATAAAATAAGCAGATGACAATGTGTTGACACAGAAAAAAAAACTTTCATTTTAAGTCATTAAAAAATTGTTGTATTTTATTTATGATGTTTTCCCATTTGTGAAGCAGTCACTGTTACTCCAAACTGATTGTTAGGCTTGACACAAATACATTAACATAAAACACTCTGACTTAAAGACTGCCCCCTCATGAGTTCAAATTTCAGGCTAATCTGTTGCATTCACTTTCACATAATTACCCTCAGAAAAGGCATGAGTTCATCTCTTCTTCCTCCAGCTATGACTTAAATAGTGAGGTAGACTGGACTCTCTAGCAACCAGTCTAAGAGAAGGAAATACTGAAGTCCAAACCATAGAAAAGGCAACAAAAAACAAATCTAGTATCTGTTCTAAGAATGCATGGCAATTAGTAATTAATACAGAAAAGAGATCTATGGAGAACCCTAATTGCCTGAAGAAACATTCTTAAAAAGGAATACATATATATATATATATATATATATATATATATATATAGAGAGAGAGAGAGAGGATTAGTATTGGTTTTTTGTAAGGTAGGTATATATTATTCATCAAATCTAATGTTATATCTAGGAAGTCTACTTTTTTTAAATTAGTATTTACAATAATTTTCAAGTTTAGGAATTTAAATTCTCTGTGTAATAGCTTTCTAATTTTATCAATTTTAAAGTTAGTAGACTTTCTTATAACCATAAGTCCATCATCTCTATACAGTCCAACATTGTTAATACTAATTTTATAATTGTACTGTTATATTATGACTTGACCGACTTGATAGCTACAATACATTAGATACATGAGTTTTCTAAATAAGTTAAATCTTAACACCCCTAAAATAAAAAAGATGGAATTTTCCTTAACACCAACATCTTAAGATATCAAATTTGTCTGGACCTAAGTGAATCAGTTTCAAAAAGTTATTCTTAGCATCACTTGATAATAGAACAAAACTTTGTATTTTAAATTTAATTTGTATGATTGAACTTAAATTGAGGTTTCAGTTTTGAACCATGGGAATTTTGCCTGTTGCGATGATTATATATTTTTAAAGAACAATTATAACATTATGCTCTACTGTTGTATTGAACACTGTTTTTTAAAATAAAAATAAATGCTAAGAACTCTGAATTATAAATCTCATTGTTCTCTCCTATTATTTTAAAATATATATATATATTCTCTAAATGATTATTCAGATTTTAATCAGAATCTATATAATAATATGCTTGCACCTATGTATGGTGCATGTCATACTTGGAATCACAGATATTGAGAGGGAAACAGAAGGAGATAGAGAAGAACATAGAGATGTTGTTCATGATGACGGTCGTCTTCGAGTATAGAATCCAGAGGTTAGCAGTGAATATTTCAAAGACAGTAGGGAAGCGTATTTCAGGTTAGCAGTGGATATCCCGGTAAATATAGCAGAGCATAGTTCGTCCTTCTGTTTCTCTTCGCCTGACAAGCTGGAACTGGACATTCGGGTAGAGTAAATAAAATGGCCGCCTTTATACACGACGGATTGAATATTCTACGTCTTCTGATTGGTTAACCTTCTATTGGTGGACTATAAAGTGAGTCAAGTCATTTGGGCTAACTCACTAGTACATAATGTATCCAAAAATTGTAACAAGAGAGACATAAAGAGAGTGTGACAGAGAAATTGAAGGGGGTGTCATCTTAGATAAAGGTAGTTGTTTGTCATGAGGAGTTAAATCCATTGACAAATTTGCTCCTGAACTGCAAGTCACCTTTTGAAATTAAAACCTTTCTTTAATAAGTATAATCATTTTGTAATATAATGAAAATATAGAATGTTCCAATCAAAAATTTCATTAAACCAAGAGTGTGTTGAGCATCAGAAAGAGAGATGGACAAAGAGAGCAAAACAAAAAGACAGATAGGGACATAGAAGAGAGTGCAACACAGAGAGGGATTGAAGTGAGGTCATCTTAAATAAAGGCGGTTTCTTGTAGGTGAGGTGTTAAATCATGTTTCATGACCCAACAATCTATTGAGGACATTTCGGTATTTTTAAGAAATATCATGTCAGTTTTCTTATAATTATCTAGAAATGGTCATATGTTGAAAAATAAAGCATTAAAATAAATTTATTAGTAAATCCATCTAATTTGCTTTGTTCTGCTAGTAAATAATAAAAACTCTTCCACACTCAAATTATTTTTTAACATACTAGCAGCATTTTTAACTAGAGAAGGTCACTTTCTTTCTAAAGACTGTTGAGTGATTAATAGTAGACATCTTTGGGGTCCTCAACAGCTTAGAATATAGCATGAAAAAGGCGGGGATAATAAGAAGACATGTTGATAGATAAAATTACCTTTTCATCAGTACTGGCTGATAAATTTCCATGTACTTTATATGCTGTTTCCATCTGTTTATAATGATGGACAAGTCAAGCTTGTACCCAAGGTTATTAATATGTTCCTCTCAACATTACTGGGGTCATATAGAACTAATATATAAAACACTATGGTGAAAATAGTCACCTACAGAGTGCTAAAGGTTAAAAAGAAAAGAAACAAAAATGTTGTTCTGTTGTGTATTCAATCTGTATTTTTTTTTAAGTGGGAAATGCAAACTTTTCCTCACACCTAATAATTTGAATGTTTTGTTCCAATTTAGGTTGTTTTGTTTTACAGCATATCAATTGTTCCAAAGTTATTTAATATCAAATTCTGTCATTTAAATAAACAATAGAAAAGCAGACATAGGTTTAGTTTGCATTTTTTTTAAATAATTTCATCCCAATCAAAACAATAAAGCCACTAAAACACAAGTGGTTATTGTGAGTGGGAGAATATGAGAAAAAGAAAAAGAAAACATTATTAAGGAGAGAGAACAATAAAAGAATAGGAATTAAGATAGAAGATAATGATTGACATTACATTTAAATTTTTGAAGATCAAAGTTGACTGGAATGCAAGAAGCTGTAAAATTATAAGACCTTTCCACCAATCTGGTACCAAAAAGATGAGTCAAAAAAGGTAGACCAAAAATGTCAGCCATAAATACAGACTGATGTGGAGGTACAGAAGATGCCTATTGTGTACGCCTATTGCTTACCACTACGATGAGGACCGGTCCATTACGGTTACCTGCTAGATTGTCCCACCTGGTTACAGTAGTCAACAACCACTTTGCTACTTCAAACAAATATATCCCTTTCTGGGACATATCACAGAGCAACAGTTATTCTAGGATGTCCTCATTAGGCAATTGAGTTAATAGTGACTTATAATATTCTATTCTTTTTCAGGAATACCACTTGGATTCACCATTCTTGAATGGTTTAATTCTATTTACCCCAAACTTGATGAAAGCAATCGACCTTTGGAGTGTATTCAAGAAGCCGGGGAAATTTTTTATTTGGTGAGTCACTTAAACTTTTACTGAGTCTTCATATTAGACCCTATTCCATGCTGTTTTTTTTTTTTTGAGTTTTTGAAAGATGGGGGTGCCATTTTGCCAGTTTAATGTTACTGAATTCTATAATTTATAGCTTAAGAGTAGGAAGGAATATGTATTTGAATTGAAGAAAAATGGTGTGGTTAACAACTTAATAAGCACAGTGCTTACAGCCATTTCCTGAAATGAAGTTTCAGTCATCTTCAATGATGAAATTTAGATTCTGAAATTGACAGGAAGCATGACAAGTGGATTGCAGAAAAAAAAAGTTGAGTGGTGGAGATACAAGTGTGAAAATAATTGTAAAGCATGAGCCATTTGTTTTTTTCTGTTGTATTGTTATTTTCTTAAAGGAAAATCTTACATGCTATTTTCAAGTGGCCTGAGATCATTTTTGTTACTTCTTCACTTCACCACTTCTCTTGCCTTCTCTATTTGGATAAATTAAAAAATCTAGTGCAGGGTTTACTAAATTTTTTCTGTTGAGGGTATGGCAAAAAGAAGTAGAGTAAAACCAAAACAGAGATTAACATAATTCTGTGGTCACCGACTAATGATTGGCAGACACTAAATAAGATTTCACAAGATCATAATAGATGATAATGTTAATAATAGCTGTTCCCTTATACGCAATCATTTGGTATTTATTGACCAAACAGCTGAACATTAGTTGAAATTTATAAAATCTTTCTACTAAAACAATTTTTCAAGAAAATAGGTATCTTAAGTCCATGAACAGTTATCGGGCTTTTTATTATTAATGGGGGTGTTATGAAATGTTATTTCCTTTGCATTTTCTCAGCAGTATTTGTTAATCTTGCATATCATATTCTACCCCTTACTTTACTGTTTGGACACTTAGTTGCTCTGCCTTAGTGATGCTAATTATGCAGTCATTCACTACAAAGGGCTTCTCTCTTAACCTTTTATTTGAAATAGTGTGGACTGTCTTGATAATGTCATTATTATCTCTTCAAGTCTCATGCTATCCACTTGTTGCTGCTGTTGGAAGTCCTCAAATGATGTGGTCTCTTATTTGGTACCGTTCTTTGTTTGCAGTTCTGTAACATCATTCTGGGAGGTTCAAAGAAAGACGGTCCTCACTAAGATCTACAAACTTCATTCAATGGTAGAAAATATTAGCTCACATTCTGCCATAGGTGGAGACAGTGACTAATGAATGAATATATATATTGGTTGGGTGATTTGATAAAAAGACAAAACAGTAACTTGCCCCACCAGCCAAAAAATTAACCCTACAACCCCTCCCCTCAAAAAAAAAAAATTGATCATTATACCAAAGGGAGGTAACAAATAATGCTGCTGCTACTACTACTGTATTAAAGAATAAATGAAAGCAAACTTGTCTATTGAAAACTATATATACAATTTAGTTATATGGTCAAGGTTAGTTTTATTAGTTCTTACAGTCCAAAAATATTTTATGACTTTAAATAACCTGCAAAGGGTTGATAAGCTATATAAAGCAAATAAATCAGTCAAGAATATTTTACCATTTGATACAAGATAGTACATTTATTTAGTTTGTATTTCTTTGTTAATACTTCAGCCAGAATCCTTTTATCATGGAACCATAAATATTGGAGACACAGTGGCTATTGGGATGCAGAAGAAAGAACCAGTAACTGAAATTGAGAAGCTCTTCTATGAAGGTAAGCATTATTATTATTATTATTATTATTATTCTTTTTCTCATGGTTGAACATGGGACTTCCTGTCCTTTCGAGTTTTTAGCAGTGTTTGTTTTTTGCTATCTCCTAATTCTTATTCAGTTAACCATCTACTCAAGCTTGTTGTTGTTCTCTGTGCCATGTCCCGTCAGGGCGTGGGTGATCCCAGCTCTCTGCAAGTTCCTGCTCTTTGTAGCTCTTAGCAAGGTTTGTCTTTTTGCTATCTCTCCTAATCCCTGTTCTGCCAACCATTTACCCAAGCTTGTTTCATAGGTTATTCTCTGCTTTTCTCTACCCCTCTTGCCTTCAATATGTTTTGAGAATATCAAATTTTCCCCAAAAGGTGTAGAAGGTAGCAAAGGAAAATGAGAAGAAAGAATTTAACTGCAAAAAACGAGAATGCATGATTGTTAGTAAAAATTGCAAATTGGAGTTACAAAAACCAAACAAGTGCAACAATTTAAATAGCTGGGAAGTTTTTTAACAGAGGACAGAAAGTGTGACACTGAAATCTGAAGGTGCATGGGGATAGTGAAAGCTGCCTTCCAAAAGATAAGTCTGAGATAGATATATAGTCAGAAAGACAGACATGAAGTCTGAGATAGATAGATAGAACAAGTGCAACAATTTAAATATCTGGGATATTTAACAGAGGATGGAAAGTGTGACAATGAAATCTGAATCTGCATTGAGAAAATGAAAGATGCCTTCCAAAAGCCTTCCAGACTATTAATAAACAAAAAAAAAATTTGTTAGAAACAAAGAAAAGACATGTAATATCAGTCCTCCTATATGGTAGTGAATAGTGAATACTGAACAATCTCCAAGAAGAGACTTGAAGCAACAGAAATATAGTTCTACAGAAGGATGCCGAGAATACTATGGACCAAACATGTAAGCAATGACAAATTTTTAGTGAAAATGAAAACAAAAAAGACACTTACACTTTAACATCAGGAAGAGATAGTTGAAATTTCTAGGGCATATAATAAGGAAAGGAAGCTTGGGAAATTTGATATTCACAAGAGGAAAACAACACATAAACTACATAACAAACATGAGCAAATGGATGGTGGAACAAAGTTTAGGAGAGACTAGCAGCATGGCCCGGCGTTGCCCGTGCTTCATTCAAAAATCATACGACTAATACAGCAATCGCTATCACTTGACTTAAAATATTTTTGCCCTTCCTTGCCTTTAAAGGAGTGCCCTTTGCCGTGCTGATGTTGTTACATGCTTTACTTCTTGCCTATCTCACACAGTGAATTTTTTCGAAGCTCTATACTAAACATTAAATCTGTTATGAAAAAAGAACTAAACAAAATGAACACAAAACGATCAGCTTTAAAAAAGGACTCGTAACTGGAAAAACCAAAAGAAAAAAGAATGTTAACAACAAATACTTTTTCACACCCAACCCAGTTCTGTGGAATCAGAATCAGCGTTGAGTTTAAGCAAGCCATTTGGAGTAGAGTGCTATGCAGATTTAAATTTTTCCCACTTGTGACGAATGCAGCTATCAATTTTTTGCATGCTAGTTAACATTCATGTCAGTCAGCTGTTGGCTCTCACACTGGCCAATAGAATCTTCCTGCCTATTCATGGCAGCCAGCTATCGGCTTTCACTCTGGCCAGTAGAAAATGGCCACAAACTACATGAAAACTGCTGTAGAAGCATGAAAAAATTGATTATTTCCACTATCAATGGGAGTTGGGAAATGCAAAGTTGGTCTTGGCCATCCCACTAACTTGGAGCATGTGCATGTAAATTTTGGTGCAAATCCGTCGAAAATTGCAGCCATGCATTCGTTACACACACACACATCCTGCCTTTTATAGATAGAGTTAACAAAAAGACAAAATTTATTAAAAGGAGAGTCATGACGGGACATGGCATGTAAAAGAACAAGGCCTGTGTAATTGAGAAAGTCAGCCATTGAAAAAAGTTTATTGATTACTTTGTTCAGCTGAGAATATGTAAATTTTTTTTTTTTTTTTTTTTTTTTTTTTGCAAATGGTAAATGAAGTATTCCTTAATTGGAAATGGCCATTGTTTTGATTCACTACCATACATGCTCTCTTGAAGAAAAACTGTTTTTTCTTCTCATCCAATCAGGAAAATTGCCTTAAGAATTTCAACGGTTTTTATCTAAATTAGATATACTTCGGGTATTGTTTTATTTGGGTAAAGGTGTTAACAAGCTGTTCAACACTTCCTATTTGTTTTAAGAAAAAAATCTTTTAGGAATGTCTTTGAGAATTATTCCTTCTTCAAGATTCGTTAGAAGTTAAGCGGAAACAGTTATGAGTGGAATTGGTAAAGCTCTCAAGTGTTTTCCTTTTCAAAAGGACTGATAGTAATGATAAAAGGTGGACAAGTACATATATCCTTAAATGTGTTGGTGTGTAAGGATAGCAATAAAGCTTCATATCTACATGATAATATAGCCATCCATCTATGCTAATATACATTTGCATTCTTATATATATATATATATATATATATATAGATAGATAGATAGATAGATATTAATATAAGACAATAACTTGATAATGAAGAATAGGAAAGCTATTTATTTTACACAAGAAATATATTTTTAGCATATTCTTCATATTCTTCTTTTTCTCAATGTACTTAATTCAGTCATGAATATTAATTATATGTATAAAACATTATACAGTGAACATTTCAGATCTTACTGATCCATGCTTTATATATATATATATATATATATATATATATATATATATATATATATATATTGATAAACAGACTGATAACTTGCAATCAAAGGTACTCAAATGCATAAAAATGAACTTTGGAAAGTTTACAGTTTTTAACTCTGATATGAAACAACTTGGTCAGAAATTGTAAACAGTAAATAAAAAATTAGATCTTGTTTGTATTTTTCAATAAAACTTGTTTGAAAAAATTCTTCCTGCTTAAATACATCTTTTATATATATATATATATATATATATATATATATATATATATATATATATAGTGGAAACTGATGTCAACACCAGGTGACAACAGTCTGTTTCATGCTTCAGTGCAAATTTCAGGTCATGTGTCTGAAGATTGTGATGAATCATGAAAGAGATAGTCAGCACTTGGTTTTGAACTCAGTGTCCACTTTTATATTTATATATATTTTTATCATATGCATAGGATTAATACAAATAAATTTTTTCACTTAGCTGATTGATGTTATTTCAGCACATAAATTACAGAGTTTGAATGAAAATATAATTTTATGGTATGCTAAATTTAAAGGTAAAAGTGCTCAATTCCAGGGATAGTGCATATGTAAATATAAAGGTGGACACAGGTCAAAACTGTATGGCAACAGTCTATTTCATGATGAATATTGTGTTCATCATAAAATGTACTGTCACCACATAGCATTAACCTCAGTGTCCACTTTTATATTTACATATGTTCTATCTCTGATATTCAGTACTTTTTCCTATAAATATAACATACCTTAAAATTATATTTTTATCATATATATATATATATATATATATATATATATATATTTGTATGTATAAGATTAATACAAATAAAATTCGTCACTTAGCTGATTGCTTTTCTGTTCAACACTTCAACTCCAAATCTTTGTAGACAGACCCTTTTTGAAATTGTTCAGTCCCCTCATCTGGAGGTTTCCTGCTTGAAGATTGCATTCAACATGAAACAGACTGTACCCATTCAGTATTGAACTTAGTGTACACTTATATATATATATATATATATATATATATATATTGGGGAAAAAATGTATGACAAAGTGGAAAAAGTTTTTCTGTTATGTATTTTGTCCTTTTGGACTTCATTTGTTATGTTGGGGCAACTACACATACACATTAAAGAGAGATGCTGGTATATATATATATATATATATATATATATATATATATATATATATATATATGTGAAAATTTATAGAAAATAGGAAGGAGCTGGTTAGGTAAATAATCCAAAGTCCCTTAGTATTTTAGTTATTATTTTAAAAAAATAGTGCTCAATACAAAAGTAGAGCATAAATATAAATTAAATTGAGTTAAAATAAGCTCCGTTCCATCTTCAAGCGAAATTTTTTTTGGAATAACATATATCTGAAATTTACGTGTTTTAAAATTCAACTCAATTTAATTTAACTCAATTTAATTTAAATAATTATATTGAAGTTTTCGGCTCTTGTTTTGAAACATGAGACTTCTTATGTAGTGTTTTGGAATCATATTTTTAAATAAATAATATATATATATATATATATATATATATATATATATATATATTTATATCCTTGGGAAAAGTATTAATCCTCTTCTTCTTCCTTCAGATATAAATAAATAGCAGGACAGACTGGGTCCTATAACCTTGATGGGGAACTGGTCTAGGAGAAGGAGAACTCTGAATCCAAAACCTGTGGGGGGTTGTTTGGGGATCTTTTGAAATGTAGTGCACCAGTTCTCTATATTCAGCCTTTCAAAAAGTGTGGTTGATTCTGCACAAAGCCTTCACTATGATAATTAAATCATATGTGCTGGTATCTGGGTTGTCATTTCCTAGGAACTGAGCTACTTGACCCTTATATGTCAAATACAACGAGAGAGTCCACCATATATATGACATGATATACAAATCTCTATGTCTGAATAATATTGGGAAATTCAATGACAAAATGAAAAAACTCCCATGTTAAGCCTGACAATAATTTCAAATTAAAGAATGTAGTTTTAATTAAAGGAGGCAATAATTTATTAAACCAAAAATGTATAGAAAGTGCACTAATTTCAGAATATTCCATGGTAAATCTATATCCAGGATCATACAACATATATTCTTTCCTAATAAAGCTACTATTACAATCTAGAATATTTAAATACACTGGCCATAAAAAAACAAAAGTAACTGAATTTAGTAAGCTAGTTTATGTTTTGGATACATCAGATTCAGAAAACTTAAAAATTTAAATTTAAAGATATTGCACTGTATCTTCAGCATTTATTGATGTAAAATTCATATTTGTTATATTTATTCTCTCTATGTATATTTTTAATGAAACTTGTATAAAAGAAGGTTTGCTACCCAAATACACTATATATATATATATATATATATATATATATATATATATATATATATATATATATATATATATATATGTATATATATATATATATATATATATATATATGTATATATATATATATATATATATATATATATATATATATATATATACAGACAAAGAAATAACCCGCATAGAATCAATCAGCAATATTAATGCTATTATTGGCGACATCCATCGCTAGTAGTGTATAATGTATGCATTAAAATACTGTTTAATCCATAGAATGATGTGATCCTCATTTATAAAACTGTTGTCTGTTGTTTCCAGTTTATATTAAATTTAAAAAAAACATCTTTTGGTCTACAAACAATTATTTCGTCTCCAAGTTTTTGATTTTATAAGGAAAAGATATGCCTGACGATGAATAAAGGATTATTTGAAAGTACTTGCATTTTAAAAAAATATAAACTGGAAACAACAGACAACAGTTTTATGAATAAGAATCACATCATTCTATGGATTAACAGTATTTTAATGCATACATTATACACTACTAGCGATGGATGTCGTCAATAATAGCATTAATATTGCTGATTGATTCTATGTGTGATTATTTCTTTGTATATAAATTATATGCTGCCTAATGTTTTTTATATATATATATATATATATATATATATTAATCAGTTTCACCCTAAGCAAAGCAGTAAAGGCACTATGACACAATGGATTACTGGGTGTGGAAGAATTAGAAAAAAAAATATTAATAATGAGCTGGGAGAGAAAAGTGTAATCAGGTGGACAGTTTTGGCATTGCATTTAAATTTTTGGAGATTAAATTTGGCTAGAAAGCATGGAGCCAGAAGGGAGTTCCAAAAGCAAGAAGTGCAAGGGAAGAAATAGAATTTATGGCTACATGTATTCAGCTCAACTGTAAATTGTTGAGTTCTTGATGCCAGTCTAGTACCTTGCTTTAATTCATAGGGTCAAGGTACCATAGGGAAGATCATCATCCAAACAGCTACTGTGAAAGTATTTATAGAAAAGGCACAGAGAGGCAGCCTTACATTAGTGGGAAAGTGACTGAAGGCGATCCACCAGGTCAGGACAGATAATATTGCAGATTCTTCTTTGTATTTAATCAAGGAGGTCAAGGTAAATTGCAGGGGCACCAGACCATATGTGGCAGCAATATTCTAAGCATGGATGAATAGTAGACTTAGAGATACGTAAGATAGATTCTGGAGAAAAATTGTCTCGCATGAAACAGTAAACCAATATTATATATATATATATATATATATATATATATATATATATATATATATATATATATATATTAGGTTTAAAGGTAAGCTATATTTATAGGGTGAAAGTGCTCACTATTGGGGATAGAGCGTGTGTAAACATATGACCTGAACATTGCACCCAAGAAACAGACTGTCACCATATGTGAGTATACACATTAAAAAAGTGTTTATTAACAACAGAGATGTCTGTTTGCTCACTTTGACTGATCAAAAGAATGGTAATGAGATGCAATCTGCATAGCAGGTGTGATTTGCTTCAATGGCAAAATCCTCCCTGAAAGAAGAATAAAAAAATACAATATAAAAAATAAGAAGAACAATGAGTTCTCTCTTCTGGTTTCAAACAAATATTCGTGACCATAAGAAAAGAACAGATATGACTGGAGTGAAGTGTAAACATCAGAGGAAATCAACTCGCTTCATTCATGACTGAAATTATAAACATATATATATATATATATATATATATACATATATATATATATATATATATATATATATATATATATATATATATATATCGTGGCCTGACAATTGTGTCTAGCATGAAACAGCCTGTTGCCTCTAAGTGTTGACTTCAATGTTCACTTTTATATTTACACATGCTCTATCTCTGATATTGAGCACTTTATCGCATAGATATAGCACACCATAAGAGTATATTTCTTTATATATATATATATATATATATATATATATATAATAATAAATAAGTTTACTTAAATTCAACTCTGCCTAATTCTTTACTTCATTTTTCTAATTTTCAAATACAATGTACATTGAAACCAAAATTGTGGATAAACTGCTCAAAGTTTTGTTCTGATTTTGTTCTGTGTAACTGTTTAACACATTGGATTAATTTGAATTACAGTGTTTCCACAACCAAAAAAAAAGTCAGGAAATAGCTCTCAAAATCTTGTCAACCATACTGACAAGATGACTGAGATAGTTGAATGTACATGAACAAAAACAGAATAAGACATGAAATTTGGACAGTTTATTCACAATTTTAATCCTGATGTACAGCAATGTATTTGATAACTGGAATACTATAATAAAAAAATTAAACAGATAAACCTTTTTATTTCACAAAATTTGCTACATAAATATACCCCTCACACAATATATATCAGTCACTTTTACTAAGCTTTCTCTGGCACAAGAACAGAATTAAAAGAGCACTCTAGATGTTCACTTCAGTAGTAATGGTCTCTTCAGCTAGCTTACAAACTATCATATCACAGTGATGCAATCTTCTAATAAAGTCACCCAGTGAGGATCATATTTGTTATAATGTCAATATCTGCAATATGCTCATATTGATTAATACACATAGATGCTGATTGCCACATCTTACTCAGATGATAGCTGCGTCTTCATCCTTTGTATCACTTGTAATGACTTCCATCTCATTTTAGCATCTATGGCCCTTTAGATGACTTTTGAGACCAATATTTGACTTCATAGGTATCAGGCATAGATGACAAATAAATTCTGTATTTTTGATTGGGTTCATTGGATCTACATGGCCTACAACACTACTATGCATACCATGTGCCTTCCTAGTCCAGATGATGTTTTGCAAACTTTGTTGCAAGCAACACAGGTATTGTGGGCGGGACGATAAGGCAGGTTGGCAGAGTTGGCTTACTTCTGGCTGTTATCATAACCTTTCAGATGGTTTACATAACCTGACCTTGACAACAGCATCCACTCACATTTCCATATTAATTGCCAAATCAGAGTGAGTCCCTGTTTGAAGATCACACTTGATTTGAGCATACATACATACATATAAATATCTAAATTACTCGGACATTCAGGCCGGTAAGTGTAGTTAATACTGTTTATTATAAACAGAGCATTTACTTAAAATATTTGTATCTATGAAAATAATGTATAAACAGAAAATATAATAAAATGATTGTCAGACTTAGTCCATTTCATAATCTGGCGTGTTTATTCTAAAATAAATACATAAAAATTCACCTTCCTCTCTGCTGGGAGGTGATAGCTCAGGAGAAAAATCTTCGAATGATGCCAAATCGGTTGGGTTTCAATCCTGGCTTGAGGCAATCGAATATGTAGCCACACTGATGAGCTGTGATACAGTGAAACAGTCTGTCTGTGGATCACACACACACACACACACACACACGCAGATATATATATATATATATACACATGAAAAAAATGACTCCCAAATGAGTATACAAGAATGGCAAACCAGAAAAAAAATGCTCAATACCATAATGATAGAACATTTTAAACAATAATTCATGACCTATGACAACTGTCAGTTTTATGTGCACTCTTGCACAAAGTCATCGAACAGTTTGTACTGGTCTTTCAATGATATATACCCACTAAGCCAATCTAGGATTTTACACTAAGTTTAGCTGACAAATACATAAAATGTACTCACCAACTAAAATCACTTACATGGTTTTGTATATTAGACACTTTTTTTGCCAGAATCAATTGCTAGGAAAGTTGGTTCCCTGTGTCATGCTAGACAGTTTTTCCTGCCAAAATCTATTTTACATACTTATAAGTCTACCATTCATCCATGCTTTGTTTATTTCTGCCACATATGGTCTGGTTTTCCTGCTACATATTTAGATATTCTTGATAAAATCCAAAGAAGTATCTGCAATGTTATAGATCCTGACCTGACATTGTGGCTTCAGCCACTTTCCCACTGCTGTAATGTAGCTTCCATGTGCCTTTTCTGTAAATAATTTCATGGTAATTGTTCTGATGAACTTTGCTCTATGGTACCAAGACATTATAGATTTAAGTGCAGTATTAGATTAATGGCAAAGTCTCATCATTTTACAGTTGAAATGGTGAGATGGAACTGTTCCTTCTATCATATTTATTTCTTGTGAAACTTGTGGTCTTTTGTTTCCCAAAAACTTTGATGTTGAAAAATTTAAATTATTATCTCTGTCTTTTTAATTCTTGTTCTTTTATTGTTCTCTCTATTTAATAGTATTTTTCTCATGTTCTCTAGCATTGTGTTGCCTCTTCCATCTTAGATGCTTTATTGCCTTGCTTGGGGTGAAATGATTAAAAAAAAGAAGAAAATAATTAAACATTTTCATTTACTTTAATGACAGAACTTAAATACCAATCCGAAATACACCAAGTGAAGCACCAAGCCAGCCAACTAACTGATTACCAAAAAAATTATATGATCAACAAGCAAACACAAATTCACGAGTCCCTACTAAAACTTCTACCTGGTAAGCATCATTTTCATCTCTTACTATTTTTTGTTTTTTTTTAATCTGCTGAATTTATTGTCATATGTAGTTTCACTTATGACTGTATCTGATTTTATATAAGACCCTGCGTATTTACATTTGCTAATTCAGTACACCTTTACTGCTATCCTAGATGTTCAAATTGAAAATCTAAATTGCTTGTCCATTTAAAATACTACATTTATTAAAAAATATATTCAGTTTAAATACAGAAGGAATCATAAAAGTGACCTCAATGACCTGCATCTTTCAGTTTTTTCTTCAGTTTACCCTTTTCCTGTTACCCAGAGGTTTTTATCAGACAGAAAAGGAAATTAGTCCTCGCAAAACATAAGTGCATTTCAATTTCATTCAAATTGAGTGTGCATATATGCTTATGTATGCTGTGGGTGCATGTATATTTTCCTTCAATGACAGCCTTAAAATTTTTCTGACAAGATTAAAAAATAATGTTATTTATTACTGAATAATTTTTGAAAAGTTCAATAAAATCTTACCATTATATAATATCTTTTTAATCATTTCACCCCATGCAAGGCAATAAAGCCACTAAGACACAAAGGGTTACTGAGTGTGAAAGAATATGAGAAAAAGAAAACATTATTAAGGAGAGAGAACAATAAAACAACAGGAATTAAGAAGACAGAAAATAACAATTGATATTGTATTTAAATTTTTAAAGATCAAAATGGAGTGGAAAGCAAGAAACCGGAAGAGAGTTTCAGAAGCAAGAAATTTCAGAAAAAAAAATTCTGTTCTTTTATTGTTCTCACTTCTTAATAATGTCTTTCTTTTATTCTTTCATGATCTGTAACCCTCCCTGCACATTACTGGCTCTGTTGCCTTGCATATGTTGAAATGATTTGAAAAAAAAAGAAGAAAAATGTTATGTTTTAAATATTTTCTCAAAATCTTTTATTTGATATAATCAATATAATTTGTTGTAATTTTAATATAAAAAGCATATAGTTTTACAGGATATATATATATATATATATATATGAAGAGATATAGTCTTAAGATGTGCTATATTTATGGGATAAAGTGCACAATATCAGAGATAGAGTGTGTGTAAATATAAAAATGAACATAGAAGTCAACACTTAGAGGCGACAGTCTGTTTCATGCTATATGCAATCATCAGGCCACGTATGCTGTTCTTTTTCTCGGCTATTTATATATATATACGGGTCAGTGGTGCATTGTGGGTAGTCTATTATGGCGGTTATTTTACAATTTTAAAATTGGTTATTTTACAATTTTTAAAAAATTGGTTATTTTGCAATTTTTAAAATAAAATTTTACCAGAAGTCGTTTATTTATTTATTTGGGTTAAATAATTTAAAATAATTTAACCCAAATAAATAAATAAACGACTTCCGGTAAAATAACCGCCCAAATAGACTACCCACAATGCACCACTGCCTTTAAAGGAGTGCCCTTTGTCGTGCTGATGTTGCTACATGCCTTACTTCTTGCCTATCTCATGCTGCAAATTTTTTCTAAGCTCTATACTAAACATTAAATCTGTTACGAAAAAAGAACTAAACAAAATGAACACAAAAAGATCAGCTTTAAAAAAGGACTCGTAACTGGAAAAACCGAATGAAAAAAGAATGTTAACAACAAATACTTTTTCACACCCAACCCAGTTCTGCGGAATCAGAATCAACGTTGATTTTAAGCAAGTGAATGAGCTAATTGGAGTAAAGTGCCATGCAGATTTAAATTTTTCCCACTTGTGACGAATGCAGGTATCGATTTTTTTTGCATGCTAGCATGCTAGTTAACATTCGTGTCAGTCAGCTGTTGGCTCTCTTGCTGGCCATTAGAATCTTCCTGCCTATTCGTGGCAGCCAGCTATAGGCTCTCACTCTGGCCAGTAGAAAATAGCCACAAACTACATGAAAACTGCTGTAGAAGCATGAAAAAATCAGAATGTATATTCGTAAGTGTGTGTGAGTGTGTGTCTATGTCTAGCTGACATTATATCTGTTGGTTTTGCTCATGTTGATTAGGGAACATTTTTATGTACATACCACTTGTTTTAGATAAGCATATATTAGATTCTTTAAGAATGTACTCAATGAAGGTTGGTGATGTAATATAATTTTTTTGATGTGTGTTATAGTTGGCGATATTGTTATTACTAGGCTCTCAAAATACTTTCTTTGTAAAGAATTACGTTTTTTTTTAATTAACGTAGTATCAATCAAGTGATGGCCAGTTTTGTCCCTGTGTATTACAAAATAGTCTTAATGGTTGTCTAAATGTAAATCTGTTTTATGCTTGTCGATATAGACTTTTAGATCTATTAATGTCCATCTGACATAAAATTTTTTCACATTATAAACAATGTATTTAAACAGTACTGGCATCTGAATTGGTACTGGATTTATTTTTCTTCCTAATTATATCTACATAAATTTTAAGTTACTAAATTATACTACTGTTGGTTTAAAAAGCCAAATGCATATGAAACATGTTTAACCAATAAAAATCAAACAACACAAATATAAAAATATAAGAATTTCTTTCTTCTTTTGCTCCATATCTCATTCACTGAAGAAGCTTTAATAAAAGTGAAACATGTTAGATTGACGAATGTTTCCTATTTGTTATTTATCTTATCATATATATATATATATATATATATATATATATTTAGTTTATGCAAAACTAGGTAATCCACATGGGTAGACCCTCTTATATCAAAACTATTTTATATACATTAACACAGGCTCTAATTTGGGACCAGAGAAAATCCTCTTATATCCGGTTTCTCTTATATTCGGGTTTGGTCTATTTTATTTACATTAACACAGGCTCTAATTTGGGACCAGAGAAAATCTCTTATATCCGGGTTTCTCTTATATCCGGGTTTGGTCTATTTTGTTTACATTAACACAGGCTCTAATTTGGGATCAGAGAAAATTTCTTATATCCGGGTTTCTCTTATATCCGGGTTTGGTCTATTTTGTTTACATTAACACAGGCTCTAATTTGGGACCAGAGAAAATCTCTCTTATATCCGGGTTTCTCTTATATCCGGGTTACACTGTATGACAAATTGGAAAAAAGATTTGTGATGTGTTTTATCAATTAGAATTTCATATTTTCCAATTTGTCATAGTATTTTTATAAATATATATATATATATATATATATATATATATATATATATATATGAGTGTGTGTGTGTGTGCACGTGTGTGTGTTTTCTGAGTGTGTCTTTTACAGAAAGTTTAGCTTGCTGCCTGAAAACAATGAAAAAATGTTAGTTTCCCTGTAAAATGTTATTTTTAAATTGCTCTGTCTTTTCATTATTTGAATTTGAATCAACCACTTTTTATTCATATAATCATTTTTTTTTGACAAATAGTTAACTTGTCAGTTTGTTTTTTTAATTATATATAAACTTCAGAAATCTATACTTGTTTGATCTATTTATATGCCACCAGCCGTTACTCTTTTAGTCTTCCTTTACCATTTTCTTATTTCTGTCTTTCCAAAGTTTAAGAGATAGTGACATTCTCTAAACTAACTGATAACTGCCGTGATAGACACCTCTGTTTCTCTGTGTATGCATGTCTACTTTGAATGAGTTCCCTCTTTCTTTGGATATTTTCATGACAGCAATGAATGTTTAGCACTTATATATATATGTGTGTGCATGTGTTTGTGTCAAAGCAGTTATATCTCCTGTCAAATTCCATTTATATTTCTCTTATTTCCAGGTAATGCTGAAGTTCACCTCAAATTATCAGAATCCTATTCTTTAGCTGGGAGAATCAATGAAGCTTTCACACACAGCACAAAGGCCACAGAACTTGATCCACTATTTGTGGTTGCCCATCTTGCCATTGCCAATCAGTTTTTTAAGGTTTGTCATTTAATTTTCCTTAATATGTCATTTAACCCCTTCCCTGGCATAGACGGGTATATACGTTTTTACCAAAAGTGTCTTTTTCAGACATGGACGTATAAACATGTCCAAAACATAATATTCAAATACCAGCTACACACATGTTTATTTGTCAATCTTGATTCTTTTTATGCCCTTCTGAGCTTGATACAAGTTCAATTGTCAACTCATATGTTTGGTAGAGTTGTCAACCACTCTTTGGGTACTTCAAGGTGCCTCAATTTCTTAGTTAATATATTAAAAATAAATAAAATTCGTCTGAAAATGAAGTGTTTTTCCCAAAATAATTGGCAGAGAAGAGGTTAAGTCAGTTCAATAAAGTCAAATTGGCAGCTGATCTTAAAAGTTGCCTAAAATCCGCTGTTAACTGGGACAAGGAATGGGTTGTTAACTTTAACATCTCCAAAACTAAACTGTTTTCTATTAATCATCTAAGAAGCCCCTTTCTGCCATTCATCAGCATGGCTGATGCTAACCTTCAGGAGAGTGACTCAGTGTGCCTTTTCAGGATAACATACTCTGCTGACATGAAATGGAAAAATTATATTGAATCAATTTCTAGGTTTTCTGCTAGAAAAGTTGGTTCCCTGAGAAATGCTAGACAATTTTTCTTGCCAAAATCTATCTTACACATTTATAAGCATATCATTTATCCTTGCTTTGGATATTGCTTCTCCATCTGGTCTGTTGCTCCTGCTATATATTTAGAGATTCTTGATAAAATCCAAAGAATCTGCAATGTCATTGGTCAGGACATGGCATCTCATCTTCAGTCAGTTTCCCACCAACCACACTAATGTAGCTTTCCTGTGACTTTTCTATAAATACTTTCATGGTAATTGTTCTGATGAACTTTGCTCAATGATACCTAGACTTTATGAATTTAGATGTTCCTGTAAGTTATTTGCTGACAGTTTCTTTTTCTTGCATTTCTCACCTGTGGAACTCTCTTCCATTTTCTTGCTTTTCAATCAAGTTTGATCTTCAAAAATTTAAATGCAGTGTCAATCATAATCTACTGTCTTCTTCATTCCTCCTTTATTGTTGTTGTTCCTTAATGTTTTTCCTTTTCTTATATTCTTTCACACTGAGTAACCCCTTGTGACTTAGTGGCTTTATTGCCTTGCTTGGAATGAAATGATTTAAGAAAAAAAATAATGTATCAGCCCTGGGTTTTATATAGCCATCCTTATCAAATTGCTTGTTTTTCCACTATCCAGACTGCTTATAAAAAGTTGGGAGGTTACTAGTGTTATTTCTTCTTCTAAATACCATGTCTCTTCAGGACATAGGCATTCATGGCTCGCCACAGCTTCCTATCCTTTTTGCCTCTTAGCAATTTTTGTCTTTTTAGTATCCCTCCCATTCTCTGTTCTGTCACACATTTAAACAAGCTCATTAGGCAGGTCACTTGGTGTTTTCCTGTTTCTCTTGCTTTCAGTACAGGGTGTAATGAGTAAATTTTCACCATTTTATATTTTTAATTTTGCACATGTGCATTGTTTGTTTTTGATTTTGTTGACTGCACAGTATAGTAGGGTCAGTTGGGTACTGTTTGTGATTAAAAGAGCACCCTGATATAATCTACTTCACTAGAAATTTTGAAACAGCATGCTGTACTGTTTGGCTCTAATATGAACATTTTAGAGTATTTGGGTATCAATCTGAAGACAGTGCAGAAGAAAAGTGAAAGAGTTGGATGAGTCTAATGATGATTACAAAGGTATAGCAGCTTGGAAAACTCACTCTGATCATTCTGAAAAGAAAAGAACTCACGAATTTGTTGATGAGGGCATCAGACTCAACATGGAGGCCTACATCAAGTGCCTTGAAGAGGTAGTACTTCCATGGGACAAGAGGATGGCTGCTGGATGATCCTATGTCTGGCAACAGGACTTTGCACCATGCCACAAAAACTAGAGAACCCAGACATGGCTGTCAGACAATTTCTGTGACCACATCACTCCTTACATCTGTCCCCCCTAACTCCTCAGACTGCAACCCTCTTGATTATTATGTGTGAGGTGCAGTTGAGCAAGTGACCAACAAAACTCCTTGTAACACCAAAGATAAAATGAAGGCAAGGATTATGGCATTATTCACCAACTTAAACAAGGAGACCATCAAGAATAGTTGCAGTAGATTCCAAAGTTGTCTGAAGGACGTGGTTGAAGCCAATGGCAATTTTATTGAATAAATTTACTCTTTGGTATTTCAAGATATTTTTGTGCAGTTTTGGTAAATATCTCTGTTAAAATGAGATGTCAGTGTTATTTTCATTTTTGTGTAATTTAGAGGACAATTTATCCATCGCACCCTATATATCCTGTAAGTATCAAATTTTCCAAGCTTTCTTTCTTACCTTTTATATGTCAAATTACAGCTACATCGCATTGAAAAAACCAATTCCTGTTCAATCACCAAAGTTAAGCAATGTCAGTTCTGGTCAGTACCTAGATGGGTGACCACTTGTGAACACCAAGTGCTGTAAGCTTGAATATGTGGGTGGTAAAATGAATAATGGTGCTCGGAATGCTCGTGTTCCAATTCCAATTGGGTTCATTATATTTGCTTTTGCGCAAATACACTTGGGAAAAGTATGAATCCACCTTTTCTTGCCCAGCTATGGGTTATATAGTAAAACTTGTATCACTAAACTAAACCAAACAGGGGAGGAGTTTGAACTGGACAATAGGCAAATCTATCTACTCCTGTTGATGATAAAATAATTTTAAAATTCTACCCTCTGGAAAGAGCAAATGTTTATTATTTAACCTCCTTCAAGTCATTCTCTATATCTTTTATAAATTTTTATCTAAGTTTTTTTTATTTTTTTATTTGCAGTTGGGGAAAAACTCAGAAGCTGAAAAGACATTCCAAAAAGCAATGCAATTAAACCCTCGATTGTGGGACATTTACGCCCAATATGGAACCTTCCTGATTGACACGCATCACACAAAAAAAGCAATTAAAATCTTCCAAAAAGTTTGTATTATTTACAATTTATTTCAGTGTTTTTCCTTTCTTTTAATTTAATTGTGATATGAAATATAAGTTTTGATTTTCAGGTGAAAAGTCAGCCCCTGTAAAATTAATATTAATAAGAACAATCATCACTCAAACATTTTATAAGACAAGACAAATTATATACATGGATTAATTGGTTGATAAGGAATATATACAAATCCTATAGAATAAGTATTAGACCAAATAGAATACTGAAACTGGTATTAAAATAAACTAAATTTATTTCTTCTCAAAATTACAAAGACTGATGAGTAATGTTTCGAGTCCTATGGAACAACTGCCAGAAATTATTATTTTTTAAATTCAAGTAGAAAGAAACAATGAAGAATGTGGATAGACTGATAAATTCTGTTTTTGTTATAATGGAACACACCTATTCTATAGTTAATAGACTCTCCCACCTATAATAAGTAGGAGTAGAGGGAGTCGCTCAGTGAGTTAGTCAGTCAGTCGATGCCGGACAACCGTTAGTCGGATACTAAAGTATCAGCGACCACAGCTAGATTTCTCTGCATCATTACCTATTATATCAAGTTCCTAACGTTTTGTATGTCAAACCTATTTTAGGACCGACTTAGTACAAATACAAGCCTCCACTGTGAAATCACTCCATAACAGTTTTTTGTAAACTTTTTTAATCATCTCATCCCAAGCAAAGCATTAAAGCCACTAAGATGCCAGGGGTTACTGAGTGTGAAGGAACATGAGAAAAAGAAAACATTATTAAGGAGAGAGAACAATAAAAGAACAGAAATTAAATAGACAAAAGATAACAATTGACATTGCATTTAAATTTTTGAAGATCAAAATTGATTGAAAAGCAAGAAGCCAGTAGAGAGTTCCACAAGCAAGAAATTAGAGAGAAGAAACTGTTAACATAGAACTTATGGTTACATCTAGCAATTTCAACAGTAAAATGATGAGACCTTGCCATCAATCTACTACTGCACTTGTTTTAAGATACCATGAAAATATTTATAATAAAGACGTAGGGAAGCTGTGTTATGACAGCAGAAAGTAAGTGGAAACTTTTGAAATTGTAGTTGAACATCGAGTTATGAGTGAGCTCCAGTTCTGAGTATCATTGATAAACTACATCTGGCAGCAAGGTCTCTGATCAGGAGGTTGGAGATTTTGAGGAGCATGGAACCACCTCATAATTGGTCTTAATTGTTCCCAAGTCCAACCTGATCCAATGTGGTATCACCTGTTAGGGCCCCAACTATCAGCAAATAGTAAACTTTCAAACAAAAACAAAAACAAAACACTATGAAAATATAAAAATACATTTTTATAGTAAAAATAGCAGTAATTCATTTTTATATAAAAAACATAATAGCAATACATTATAGTAAAATTACCAACAATTCAATTTTAAAGCAAAATGACCAGCAATAGATTTTATAGTAGAATTACCAACAATACATTTTATAGGAAAATGACCAACAATACATTTTATAGGAAAATGACCAACAATACATTTTATAGCAAAATGACCAACAATACATTTTATAGGAAAATGACCAACAATACATTTTATAGGAAAATGACCAATAATACATTTTATAGGAAAATGACCAACAATACATTTTATAGCAAAATGACCAACAATACATTTTATAGGAAAATGACCAACAATACATTTTATAGGAAAATGACTAACAATACATTTTATAGGAAAATGACCAATAATACATTTTATAGGAAAATGACCAACAATACATTTTATAGGAAAATGACTAACAATACATTTTATAGGAAAATGACCAATAATACATTTTATAGGAAAATGATTTAATACATTTTATAGGAAAATGACCAACAATACATTTTTATAGGAAAATGACGAACAAGACATTTTTATAGAAAATGACTAACAATACATTTTTATAGGAAAATGACTAACAATACATTTTATAGGAAAATGACTAACAATACATTTTATAGGAAAATGACCAATAATACATTTTATAGGAAAATGACTAACAATACATTTTATAGGAAAATGACCAACAATACATTTTATAGCAAAATGACTAACAATACATTTTATAGGAAAATGACTAACAATACATTTTATAGGAAAATGACTAACAATACATTTTATAGGAAAATGACCAACAATACATTTTATTGCAAAATGACCAACAATACATTTTATTGGAAAATGACCAACAATACATTTTATAGGAAAATGACTAACAATACATTTTATAGGAAAATGACCAATAATACATTTTATAGGAAAATGACCAACAATACATTTTATAGCAAAATGACCAACAATACATTTTATAGGAAAATGACTAACAATACATTTTATAGGAAAATGACTAACAATACATTTTATAGCAAAATGACCAGCAATACATTTTATCTGTAGTTGAAGGCATAAAATTGTGTTCAAAATATTTAGATTTCGGCATTAAATAACCAAAAGAGGTTGATATGCTGCTAAACAAAATCAACTGCCCAATCTTCAGAATTCAAAAAATGAGAACACTATATTTTTCCATAAAGTTATATTTTTTTTTTTTTCTTGTCTCATTCTCAGAGCATGGACTGAATCTTCAGGTTTCATTCCAAAATTGGTTTAGTTTTGAGGGATAAAAAAAAGTAAAAAAATGGACAATAATCACCACCCCAATGCAGAAATTTACATACATTGGAACAAATCAAATATATAGAAACACCATAGAATATTTCTTCTTATAGAAAAGTGAGGTAAATATAAACAGATTGTGTAATTTGATCAGCTGTCATAATCCTTACTTATTTATTTATTACTTGAAATCCTTACACCACAATAAAGATCATTATTTTTTATCAATTTTATTTGTCCTATGAAGAGGCCATTTAAGTTCTCAGATAATTTGGATAGCAACTTATATTTCTTCTTTTAAATAAAAACCCCAAAAAACAATTAAAATATATTTTATACCAAAATAATTCTTTCTTTATCTTTCCTTTTATTTAGGGTATTGAACTTGAGCCAAATATGACTGCTTTCTGGTATCATTTGATGCGGGCCCAGATAGAATTGGGTGACACAGAAGGAGCCAAGATGTCTTCTCAACACATGGAACAACTAAATGCACAGTCTTGATAAAAGAACATCATGGTTCACTCAATATCTTAAGTGTCTTATCATTTAAAATTGCTTTAGGAAATTGAGTTAAAATTTGGGAAGGAGTTGAGCTATGCAAAACTTCAGAAAATGAAAGGGTCAGTTATGGATGTCTTAATATTCATATCCATTTGACTGTTTTAATATCCTCATCTGAGATGGAAACCTTGGTTATTTTGACTTGAGGCAGTGACTAATATCTGTCTCTTTCAAGAAAGGCACACAGATTGGAGCATGATACAGAAAATAACATAGCTGACGGTATATCCAGGAGCATAATTTTTGTGACATTTTTTAAGGGAACTGAGTCTTATATGAGAGCAAATATAGTGTGTGTATGTGTGCATGTATATATGTATATATATATATATATATATATATATATATATATATATATATATATATATAAGCAACATACCTTCATTCAAGCAAGTTTCATTGAATAATATAGACATATTATGTCTATTTTTACAATAATCTTTTATAATATATACTACACTTCAAAAGTTTGAGGCCACCCCTGGTAATTTTTAAATTGGCCCAAAAAGTAGTTGATTTGTACTTTAAATAAGAGAAAACTGATATTTGGTTAACAAGAAAGTGAGACACGATTTTTTTATTAGAAATTTTATTATGGCAAAAAGAAAAAATCATTTTATGATTAAATTTTGCTCTTGTCAAAATATCCTCCTTTAGCCTTGATTACTGCAGCACAAATTTTTGACATTTGTTGCAAACATTTCTGAAAATATAAGTTTGATAATTGATTTCATTCTTTTTTCACTGACTCTAAGAGCTCTTTTTCATTATTTTTTCCACTCTTCTGTCAAATTCATCTCATGCTAAGTCTGGTGATGGCTTCAAACATTTGAACTGTAGTATATATATATATATATATATATATATATATATACACACACACACACACACATATATATGTATATATGTATTTTATTACTTAAGCATTATTTTTAGTGGGTACTCATATTTGAGTAAACAATCCATTTATTTACTAAACAGTATATTTATTTATTTTTATCTACTGGCCTGAATATTTGAGAAATCTTATGAGAGAAAAATATGTGCTCTCTGGCAGGATTTGAACCTGCATTCCCTGGAGAAAAAAAAGGACTCCCTAATAAAATTGTTACATACGAGGGTTTAGTAGCTCATTTCATTACATTTACAAATGCCTGCAAATATTTTCAACCTAATCTGGCTCATGTAAAAGTAGAGGATAATATTTCCATTATTTCATGCCCAAACCAAATTCAAATACTAAGATAGGATAAATGGGGAAAGACTTTTTCTGCTCTGCAGTGTCTTTTCCGCAGATGCAACATTACAAGCCTATCACTACTCTATCGCAGATCTTCAAATGAACCCAATTTGGACTTTTACTACTTGGACACTCCATGGAACTTCCACAAATTGAATCACCTTCATTTCCTCCATATTCCAAATGTAAAGAGGAAATTCAACTTGGACAGCTTTTTTTCCCAAGAATTGTTCCATTGTGAAACAGACTCCTATGTGGATGCCTACCTGAACATAATGAACCCTGGTTCATGTACAGCCACCGAGGTTAAGCTTTGTTGAGCCTGGACAGTACCTAGATGGGTGACTGCTTGGGAATACCAGGTGCAGTAAGATTGGATGGGCAAAGTGGTGAAATTGGAAATCAGAGCTCCAAGTTACAATTCCAGTTGGGTCCATTATATTCACTTATATACAAATACCCTTGAGAAAGATATGAATCCACATATTCTCCCCCAGCTATGGGTTAATTAGTAGGACTTGTATCAGTAAAACATTATTATCTCAAAAAAAATTCTTACGATTTAAAAATATTTACTGGCTTTAAATAATCTGCAAAAGATTGATAAGCTGTAAAAAAAAAAAACAGACCAATCAAACTATTAACCCTGAACATTAAAATCATAACCACTTCAACTCAAAGGTCAATAGTTCTCAATCATCCTCATCCCTATAATCTTCACTTTCTATCATCTTCTCCTTCGTTCATATCAAACACTTCATCTATCCTATTTTAACAGTCATCCTCTACCTTGAGTGGTTCTTGGGCTTATTATTGGGTGAGTTTTAGTATATTAAAAAAGCCCTATTTAAACAAGGTGTTTAAAAAATATCTTCAACCTTTGTTATTTTGATGGGAATAATATACAGTGTTGATTTTGTTATTATTTAAGTGCTGAAGTGACCCTTATTTAATGTCCTATAAATAGCATACAGGCATACTCGAATATGAGCAGTCAGCCATTATATAATATATGCTTTTACACTTCCCAGTCATGTAAGACCTTACAGTCAAACAGAGTGTATGAGAGAGAAAAATACCATTGCCAGACTAAACTGCATTGAGTAGATATCTATGTGCTACGATTTCAGGTGTTAACAAATTTATTCTGAATTTTTTTCTACAGTTAGGTATGATGATAAACTACATCTGGCAGCAAGGCCTCTGATCAGGAGATTGGAGGTTTTGAGGAGCATGAACTACCTCTTAATTGCTGTTGTCCCCAAGTCCACTCTGAACCAGTGTGGTAGCACCTGTTGGGGTCCCAGATATGGGCAAATAGCAAACTCCCCAACAAAAACAAAACACTATGAAAGTATAAAAATATTTTTATAGGAAAATACCAGCAATACATTTTATCATAAAATTACCAACAATACCTATTTATAGTAAAATGACCAGTGATACCTTTTATTTGAAGGTGTAAAACTGTGTTCAAAATATTTAGATTTCAGCATTAAATAACCCATAAAGGTTTATATGTCACTAAACAAAATCAGCCAATCAACAACAGTAATTATGTGATAACATGTATTTAAATTTTGTGTATTAAATACTACACTACACTTACTTTTTCTTCAAGTAATGTTGCTCTATGTTACTTAAATCCTTATAACCAAGTTTATTTATAACAGAATCAAGAGAGAACAAGCTCAATGGGTGTGCATGTGTGCGTATGCAAGCATTTAATTCACGTAACTTATTTGTGCAAAATGTTAATGTAAATGTATATATTGATGTCATTTTTGGAGTTAAAAGTTCTTTGTGGTTTTTTTCTGTCAAGGAAAAGAAAAATCTCAAGAAAGCCACAAAGCAAACCATTTTTCTCCTTTTTCTTAAGTCATTCCATTCTTAAACATTTTATATTTTTCATGCAAGATCTTAAGCATTCATTCCCTTTCTCCTTTCCCTTCCAACAACCATGCCTGTGTACCTACATCAATATGCATATGCCATATTAACACCTGCAAACAATTTCATTCAAAAATGGCTATAGCACTTTATTTGTTTCCACTACCAGGTGTTGTTTCTAAGTCAGCAATTTCAATTAGGGCTTCCATTCATTTTGACAGGTGAAATATATCTTGTAATCTGCAGTCAGAAAAAAAAAGAAGCTATTTGGGACTTCCTGTTTTAGCGGGGGGCGGAAAAAAAAGACAGATTTATATCTTTCAAAATTTTTTGTGAATATTTTTTTCTGCTCTATTCTAGAGTAAGTATGAATGTTAGATAACTTTTTCCAAATAATGAAGTATATAAATTGTAGTAAAATGATTTAAAAAAATTGTCAAAATTGGAAATTCATACCTGCAAAAAAACAGTGTGAAAAGGAAGGTTTTTCCATTGACACCACTATTAGTTTTAATTTTATTAGTTTTTAGAATGTTGCAAATATAAAATAATTTTTGTAAATAAACAATCTAATAAATAAATACTGTTTAATATTTTTGCTGTCAAATTCTCAAGAACAAAAAAAATGTATAAATTCACTTTATCATATGTTTAGGTTTTATTACAATTCCAATCATTGCTTTTTAAAATAATAAACTGAGGAGTAAAGGTAATTAAAATAAAGGGTGTTCCATTAAATTGGACTGATTTTAAATGTGAATTAAGTTTAAGTATCTAAGGATTTTTTTCCTTTTCTTTCAGATTTAACAACTTAAGTCTTTGGCAATTTCAACCATGGAAAGATTAACAATCAAACAACGTGTTAAAGTTATCGAAGCCTATTACGAAAATGGACATTCAAACAAGTGCATTTCACGATTTTTTTTGATCAACATAATTGACCAAGTGTGAAATTGGAAATGATGTAATGTTGTTGTAGAGAGGTTCAGTTCCTACATGCGATGACAAATAGAGGGGGTCTGGATTTTCAGCCACATTCTCATACATTGCAGCAATATTTTCAGCTGAACAGTGTAAACGAGCATGCAATGGTATTTTCACATCTGCCACTGACACAGTTTGTTTGAATTTATGAACAATTTTCCAATTGCACTCTTGAAACTTTGACATGTTGTTTGATTGCTAATCTTTCCATGGTTGAAATTGCCAAAGACATAAATTGTTAAATCTGAAAGAAAAAGAAAAAAACTCATAAGATGCTTAAACTTAATTCACATTTAAAATCGGTCCAAATTATTGGAATTCCCTTTAAAAGTGGTACCATGGGAAAAACTGTCCTTATGATATTCCATTTTCTTGCAGGCATGAAGGTTCCAAGTTTGCCAAAAGATTTATGGCATACCTCAGACTTACGAATATCCAATGTCTCATTTCTTTCCTTCCCCAAATATCTTGCTGAAAAATTTTTTTTTATTTAGTAAAATAAAAATGTTTTTGTTGAGAAAATTATTTTTTCATTACATTTTTTTGCAAATCAAAATATATTTTTGTCAGGCTTTTTATTATTTTTGTAACTTTTTGATTTGTGCGTAAATTGGTTGTGAATTCAGGTTTTTAGACATTTTTTCTTTTTTTAAAAAAAAGAAAATCTAATAAAAATTGTCATAAAGAGAAAAAGTATTGTCGCATTATTTATTTACTAAAATTTCACATAAATGAAAAGTGCACACTCAAACACATGCACACACACACACACACACACACACACACACATATATATATATATATATATATATATATATATATATAT